CTGTCTTTGAAAGTATACCACCTTGAACCTTAACAAGTTTGAAACGAGGTCTGACAATAGTAGTTTTATCTTCTGCTTGCAGTCTGTACATTTTGCCATGTTTGCCTAAAACTTCATAATATTCTCTTGTATACTTTCTTCTATTTTTACGAACACGAATGTGAGTACCTGTCGAGTTCCCATTGTTGTCATAGTCAATAGTATTTTCATATGGGTCGCGTTTAGGTATTTCTATTTTTACTTTGTCACCTTTCTTAAGTTTGAAGCCTGGCATTCTTTCTTGTTTGTCTCTTTTGACTAAACTATTAAATATATAGTCTTTCTCTAAGTCGGGTTGTTTTTCATTTCTTCGGGGGAGTGGTTTCCCAAACCTTTTTGTTTACGGTATTGTAAATATTTAAAACTTGTCTCATCTTTGCCATGGAGAAGTGTCTATACTTGTCGTCATATGACATTTCATCTCACCACCTTGTGGTTGGTTTAAGTCTCTTAAGATTTTTATACAACTGTCAATGACACCAAGAGCAGAATGGTTTTGGTCGACAATGAAATATTGGTTTACATTTTTTGAACGCAGATAGTTTTTAATATCGTCTGATTTGAAAGAACTTTCACAGTCAGATGTCAGTTTTGTTGGATGGTATTTGTCAACGAATATTGTCAAAGCAGTTTTCACATCTAAAATATTTTTGGACCATAATGGTATGGCTTCACAGTATCTTGTGTTTTGACCACAAATATTAGCCAGTATGGTGGTCCATCTTCCTCGGAATGTTTTCCAAGATATCCATAAACCAAGCATTTGGTGTTGAACTAAAGATTTTTACCATGAGTGCTTTCTTTGTCGCTTTAGAAACATACGGGTCCTTGTTTGAATTCGTCATTTTTAACCCATAAGAAATGGGTTTATTTGGCGCATAGCAGGAGTCGCATCTAGATTTTTGCCCGCAGTGGGAACACTAGCCAGAGGTGCATTTGGAATTGGAAGGAAGATTTTGAGTACATTAGGTATACTGAAAGAGAAAGCACAACCTATTATACAAACTGTACAGAAAGGTTGGGAGGTAGCACGAGATGCAGCAAATCTTATTCCAAATCCTGAAACAAGAGGAAAAGTTCAAGGATGGATGGACAATGTAGGAAGACAAGCAGGAAACTACTATAACAAAGCAAATGACTACTATAACCAAGCAGGGCACTATATGGACCAAGGTGAAAGATTCTTTAACAGAGGATATAACCATGCACAACAGTGGGTAAACAACAACCAACCGCAACCGCCTCAAACGTGGGGAATGTAAATTTTTTACTGAGATGAAATGAACATTGAGACAAATGGGTTCAAGATGGATTTGTCGGCTTCCAGCAGTTACACAACCACGTGTTTGTCAAGTTCTTCCTATACCTCAGGAAGTTTTAGACCGACTTAAAAAACCTCAACAACCAGTTGAAAACAAACCAAACTAAAAATTTTTTACTGAGATGAAATGACCGAAGAAGTTGAAACGGTAGATTTGACACCACAAACAAAAAGTTCAGAACCATTGTCAAAACCTGTCAAAGAACTTACAGATGAAGAGAAAAATTAATAATAGAAAGTGCCAGGTCTGGAAATACAAACCTAACTACAAAGTCACTTTTCATAAAAATGGAACGGCAAGTATCTCAAAAAAGAAACAGACTCTCACAAATAAAATATTGAAGTCTGAAGGAGCTTTCGAGACAACAGATGGAAAAGTTTACTTCACTGACCAACAGTTCATTATAGAACATCTCATTGACTTAGAGTCGAAATATTCTAAACTTTACAACAAACACAAAAAGTTGAAAGGAAAACAGAAACAAATGGCATATGATATTTATGAAGATGTTGACGACACAACTGTTCAAGCAAGTGAGGTAAAGTCAGATGAACCGAAAAGTGACGAAAAACAATAGAAGAAGGGAACCAAAAACTGAAGATAAACCAAAACCAAAGTTTAGTTTGAACTAAACCAAGTCAACCTTCATTAGCTGGTATGGGTTGGCGTCAAAGACTTATGGCAGCAGGTGGTTATGTAAAGTAAAGAAAAAACATTTTTTTATTTTTATAAAATGCCCCCATATAGAATGGATAGAAGTCTGCTAGAATAAAAGCAGAGTTAGAAAGATATGGTTGGAGAGTTTCAAAGAAGTTTAAATATAGGAAGGGAAGACCCATAAAAGTCTATGACAAACTGTCTGGTCTTCGCTACGAAATGGAATTGGAAACGGCACGCGCAAATTATCCAAACAGACTAGAGAGGTTAGAAGAAGAACGTCTTATGACATGCCTTTCGATGTTATGAACCTCAAGTTGAAGGACACGACGGCTTTGCCAGATTCTACTGGAAACATGACGAACAATTGCATCCTTTGAGACGGAAAAAAGGGAAGGGTGAAGACGCACATGCTCCCATGGAAAGAACAAGATATGCATATGAAAAGTACCGTGAAGTTAGAAGTAAAATTACTTCTGGTCGAACCTTTACAGTAAACTTTGACGAAGGAAAGAACAAAGAAGGCTTCATGGGTGTACTTGCTGCCATACAAGACGGAAATAAGAAAGGATACAATCTCAGACTAACCGTAACAGATTTGGATGGTCACATTTACTATGCACATGGCAATGTCACAACAGCCGCACAACTTCTTGACGCTTTCAAGACTACAAAGAGAGAACAAATGGTTGACTCCGACTCAGACATTTTGAATGCAATTGAAGGAATTGCAAGTGAAGTTCGAATGGTACCAACCTAACCCTCAAGCAGTCAGACAACATGCTGGATACTTCCCGTTCAGAAATAAGTCTGACATTGACTTGACAAGGTATGGAATTTACAATTCAATTGAAATAATTGTCAATGAACCTTGTATTCTTACATGTCTCAGGAACTCTGGTCTTGTTACAGATGAGAAGATGAAGTATCTTGAGTCATGTGTGAAAACAAGGTACATTCTTAGAAGTCAATTGACAAAAATTGCACCGTTGGCAAATGTGAATATCCGAGTCAACATTCCGACTGAGAAAGGTTCTTCACATGACGACTATGTTGTTGACTTCAAATTCCATGGTTGAAGATTGTACTTGTCCACAACCACTTCATGTTGAACGAAAGTCTTACAAACCCATTGTTCGGAAAAGGCAAGTGCAACATTGTCAGAGCTGTTAACATTCTTTTCGAGAAAGGCTTGTTGGAACCAATTCCAGATGACAAGCTGACAGAAACTTTTGTACCAAAAGACGAAACAAACTTTTCATTGTTGGTAAGACCAAAAGTTGTTCCAGACAAAGTTATAGCACAAAAGAAGTACACAGTTCCAAAAGGAGTTGGATTGTTCGGATACCAACCTGAACCAGAAGAACTTCCAATGAGGTTGCAAGAACTTCAAGATGCTATAAACAAACTTCCATTGAGGCATCCAATCGACGTCAAATTGTATTGGAGAGCTTCTGAGTTAGGTCAGAAGGTTTTATATGAAACAGGTTGCTTTGACGATGTTTATGAGATAACAGGAGGAGTTTCTCAGAAGATAAGAGACTCACTTGAATTTCCACGAACTGGACCCATTGGTTGCGACAAGTTCGACTCATATGAAAAAATATACTATGTCGACCTTAACGCTGCATACATGAGGTTCGTCCAATATATTCCGACTGGAATTCCAAACGAAGATGGTGAGTTCCCGGGAAGGAACTATACAGTTGGAAAAGTCATACAACAACTGTATGATATTAGGAAAGCTTCAAACCCCAAACTTGCAATGACACTCAAATTGCTTATGAATTCGACATGGGGGTATTCCATTAAGAAACCTCAAGCGATGAAGAGTAAACACTATGAGAAGGTCGACAACTTTGTTGAAAGGTTCTCCCCTTTTGTTTTGAAATACGAGTTCACCGAAGGTCAAAATGGCTTAGTAACCACAGTAAAACCTATTGTCGAACATTGGTCATACCCTCAGTTCGCAAAGGCAGTCCTTGACAACTACAACAAATTTTTCTCCGATGTCAAATCCAAAGTGAAGGTTTACTATGAGAACATTGACGCACTCATGACGAACGAAGAAGGATACAACAAACTCATTGAAATGGGAATGGTCGGTGAAAAGATGGGTCAATTCAAATTGGACAAAATTTTCACCGAAGTTCATGTCCTCTCCAAGCGTAAGTACTGGGGTGTTAAAGAAGATGGTGAAATAGTTAAACATTGCATGAAATAAAAAATTTTTATTCGAATTTGAATTTAAATGTGGGAATTCTTGGGAACGTGAAAGGCTTATTTACTTGAGGAACAGGTAAAGGTGGTGGAGGTGGAGGTGGTGGCAACCAGTCCATTTTATATTCCTTCCTAGCTAATTTCCGTTTAATTTCATGGTCGCCCTCGGAGTCTTTGAATCGGACAGGTCGAGTTACACCATTCTTGGTCTCAAACTCATATATAACCTGTTTGTCTGTATTTTCGTCGACTATGGCACGAGACACAAACATTGACCAAACGGACAAAAAGTGTCATTTCAGATGGTCAAGCAGCCAATCGCATTCGAGCACTTCGAAGAAGCCTTACGTTCCAAGGGAGAGGGTGTCTGGTGCAAGGCAGAGGTCATGAGACTCTACGAGCAGTACATCCTCAATGCCTGGGAGGACAAATCGTCCTTGGATTGGCAATTCTCTCAACTCCTCTGGGACGACCTCCTACGCAACTGGGATGACGAAAGAGTCCAATTCAGAGGTCAGGAACTAATTTTGCAAATTACCCTTAATTTAAGCTACTTATGCAACTAAAAACTTAAATTTACTAGGGGTTTCCCCCTAAAATAAAATTTTTTTACTCTTAGAACCACTCGAGGTTCTCCTTACGGTTGTTGAGCTTGTCACCGTCAATGTGTCTGACCTTCGTCTTCTTGTTTGGATTTGGAACCCATTGCATACCGACAAGCCTTCCCATGGAAATTGTACCGTAATTCCGAAGGGTAAGGCTCAAGTGTCCCAAGTTGTTGAGGACTGGGGTAAGAACCTTGCCGGTCTCCTTGTTGCGGATTTTGTATGGGTAGGGCTGGGAAATTTCATAACCGTCATCCGCAACAAGGGTTGCCCAAACTTCCTTTTCTTCGTGTTTCTCTTCTTCTTCCTCTTCTTCTTCGTGTTTCTCTTCTTCCTCGAAAATTCCTTCTTCAATTTGGTACTCACGAAGTACGGTGTTGCATGTTCTGTCCTTTCCGAGTACCTTCCAGATGGCGTCTATCTCTTCGAAGAAACGGTAGATGAGTCTGGCAAGGTTTTGGTTCTCTTTGTTGTATTGGCGCAAGGTTTCCGCGAAATCGTTCAGGACTTTCTTATTGGAAGCTTGGTTCGTGAGGACTTCGACTTTGAGATTGGTTATCTCTTCCATAAGACTACATTGGATAGTCTTAATGGTGGTTGTCAGATGAGCGTTCAATTGGGCAATTTGAATTTGAACTGGGCGCTTGTCTGGCAACCTTGAAAGGACATCTGCCATTGAGTTTGGCTTCGGTGCTTGTTCGGACATCGAAAAAATGAAGTGGTTTGAGAATGACGGTTTTACTTCAAAAAGCTTGTTATGACGGTTAAGTCATACAACAAGTTTAAAATAATATCTTGTTCTTCTTCTGAACGTTTGTTGTCTCTTCCGATAAAAGTTTCGAACATGAGAACCAAAAAACGTTTTTTGAGATTGCGGAAGAGTTCAGGCAAACGTTCATATTCTGGATATGTTGGGAGCAGTTCGAAACATCTGAGCTGACTTTCGGACAAAATTGGGACAATGTCAACAAATTCATCTTTGGTCGGATTGCTTGAAGGTAAGTCCCTTACATGTAAGTAGCTCTGGTAAAGTCTTCTCATTTCTGCTAACTTTTGGAGTATAGCTTCGTAGTTTAGAAGTTTTAATTTTAATTGTCTTATTCCACTCTTGACATCTAAACGGTAACTATCCATGAGGTCAAGAGTAGCTTTGGTAGCTTTAAGTGGAGCTATCTGTTCCTTGACTTCTGCAATTTTGGTTGCAATTGTGATTTGAGCTCCTTCAAGTTCGCCGTCTATGTCGTTCTCAACACCTTCAACCATAGCTTGAAACTCTTCATCGGTCCATTGAGTTTGGTGTGGGACGAATTTAACTTGCTTCATTCAAAAATGAAAAAAATGTTTTTACTCAAAGCGTGCCATATAGATGTTTACTGTAAAGGTACGATGTCGCCTTCTGTGTTTATGAAGAACGCCTGACCCGAGAAGTGTAAGAGTCCTCTGAGAATTTGGGCAATTCGTACAGTTGGGTTCTCTCTGTTTGGAAGTTGTATCCACGGACGCTTTGCAAAGAACTTCAAGAGGGTTTCTTTCTTCATCTCTTTTATGTCGTCTACAGGAGTGTTTTCTGGTATTTGCAGGACAATTCCGGTGTCAATTTCAATTTTAAGCGCACCTCTTCCAGACACCCAGCCTGCAATGGTCTTGTTTGACTTCAGATGGCTCAGGTAGTTCCTAACTAGCTCATTTATCTCTATAAGGTAGATTGCCTCATCTGCTGGGTCTATGTCGGTCATTGTTTCAAGACAAGTCTTTTACTTTTTCAAGACAAGTCTTTTATTGTTTCAAGACAAGTCTTTTACTTTTTCAAGACAAGTCTTTTACTTTTTCAAGACAAGTCTTTTACTTTTTCAAGACAAGTCTTTTACTTTTTCAAGACAAGACCCGTTATTTTTCAAGAAATTTTTTGGTGTAAAGTTCTCAAATTTGAGAACAGTGGTCTTGATTGAAGACGATACCCGTACTTTTTCAAGACAAGTCTTTTACTTTTTCAAGACAAGTCTTTTACTTTTTCAAGACAAGTCTTTTACTTTTTCAAGACAAGTCTTTTACTTTTTCAAGACAAGTCTTTTACTTTTTCAAGACAAGTCTTTTATTGTTTCAAGACAAGTCTTTTACTTTTTCAAGACAAGTCTTTTATTGTTTCAAGACAAGTCTTTTACTTTTTCAAGACAAGTCTTTTATTGTTTCAAGACAATGTCCGACGTACCACCAACCGAGTCCATTCCCAAGCCAGAGGAACCTAAAGCACCAGCCCCTGCACCTCAGCAACCTCAGTTCCAGCAAGTACCTCCACCAAATTACTACCAATTTCCACCTCAATGTTACTACCCACCACAAGGCTTCCCGAACTACCCTCCTCAGCCTATGCCTTACTGCCCTAACCCTTGGATGTTCATGTCAAACCCTCCACCCCAATTCCAATTCCAATCTCAATCCAAGAGAGACCAAGAGTTCGAGGAAGGTCTGAACCGTTTACGCAAAGAGTATGCCACAGCCCCTATGGAAGATGACAGGCTTTCAGTCTCTTCCCTAAAGTCGACCAATTCGACTCGTACCACAGATTCGGTTCGTGACCGTGAAGACTACCTCAAGCAGTCTGAGAGACTCTTCATCTTACAGCCATTTACAGTTGGAGCTCTCAAGAACATGCGCAATTACGAAGGTCAAACACCAGCTGGAGACCGCAAAACAGACGTACTCGCAAGAGCCGTCCAGCTCGTCAAGACAAAGACTGAGATAGTCGACTTCATTCTTGCAGCTTGCCCATACAAGTAAAAAAATAAACAATTACGAGTTAAACTTTTTATTCTTTCTTTTCTGAGTTGTTTAGAGCTGGTTTCTCTTGTAGGAGCCTTTCGTACTCTTCCATGGTCATGTAATTGCGAATTTGGTACGCAATTCCAGGTTCGTTGTTTTTGAACCTTACGTATGTAACGCTTCCATCCTCCTCAGGGAAGTAAGCTGCTAACATCTGACCAAGTTTTCTCGGTGACTCGGAGCTCATTAAAAATGTCACTTTTTAAACGTTAAGTTTTTAGTCTTATTTTACTCTTTGTTTGTCAATGTAGTATTGGAGCGCAATTTCTCCAAATTCTCTGTGTCGGAGTTCTTCAGCATTTTCCAAGGTGTACCTGGAGAACTCAAAGAAGTTGTCAAGAACATACTGCCATGCTGCTCTTCTGAGTTCGTCGGTATTTTGGAAGTGTTGCACCTTCGAGTCTTCTGACATGAAAAAAATGACACTTTTTCATTATATAACTGTTATTTTTTTGACGAAGAGAACTTTTGCACTTCGTAAAAAAAATCCCTGAAATCGTAAAAAAAACTCATGAAAATCGTGAAAAAATGCTACCCCGACTTTTACAGGGGTAGCCAAAACTCTATGAAAATCGTAAAAAAATCCCTGAAATCATATCTTTTATACAAGATAGAAAAAATAAAAAATAGCGTTAGTTTTTATAAAATATTTTTTTTATTTTGTATGTAAGAACAGGAAATGACAAACACTGAGTTTGAAACAGTTAAAAAGATAGACAATGAGACCAAAATAGTTAGAATAGGTGATTTAAACGTAAGATACTCAAAGAAATACAACAAATATTCTTTGTCAGACATTATATCACCATTTGGAAAGAAAACATGGCATTGGGTTGGAATTGCTTCAACTCAGAAAATTTTGACAAGAAATCCTGAGCTTATGATATCGGTAAGATTCTGTGGAACTACAGCATATCTCATTGACAAAAGTCTTATACCAATAGTTTTGTTATGGTTAGACCCAGTTGTTGGATATAATTTCATAACATATGGTTCATTCGATACGGAACGTTGCAGTGAAGGCTTACTTTACATCGTTCAGAAACCGAAGGACTTCAATACAAAGAGATATAAGATAGGAAGAACATATAATATAACTCAAAGATATGACAGTATAGTCAATAGAGTTAAGGTTGTGTTTGTGAATGATATGAGAGCTGCTGAAACAGAACTACTTGAAAAGTTTGAGAAAATGTATGGTGCTCCCACGAAAGGTAAAGAAACGTTTGAAGTAGATGAGATAGAGAAAGCTGTAAAATTATTTGACGAAGTTGCTGAAAAATACATGTAAAGCGTTTATTTTTACGCTTGACTTTTTACAATTTGAACTTTGTTTGCGTAGATATGAATTCTGAAAGAAGTATGAGGGTCTTGTATGACTTTGTACTTCTCCCATAGTTCATGTCTGTCAAACTTACCTGCCATGGACTCTTTCATAAGTTCCATGAAATCGTCTTCGGACAATCCGGGGAAAAGTATGATATCAGTAAGTATTCTCTTTACATCCTTACTTAAACTCTTGGCTGTCTGTACACAAATGACAACTGAGATGTTAAAGTGTCTGAGCTTCTTAAGAATTCGACACATGTCTTGTTCTCTGTTCTTTAACAAAGGATGAGAAGCAAAGTCATCTAAGATAAGAAGACATCTGTGAGGGTAAGTCTTCCAATCGTAAGATTGCAATTTCTTCGAAATGTATTCTATCTCTTTCTGTTTGTTTCTGAAGTGTTTCTTCTCTAATATTCTCTGCATTTCCTCATTTGGGTCTTTAAACTCGAATTGACATACTCATTTATAGCATTGTACTTCAAAACTCTTCTTTGGTACTTCTTTATCCAATCTAACAACTCAGTATCTTTTATACATACTAACTTAGACTTTTTTATAATATCTTTGAACGAATTGACGGTTTGGTCAAATTGACCAGAAGTACTACAAATGACTACTAACTCATAGAATGGGTTCTTCTCATCTAGTTCTTGTTGTTGTGCAGCCATTTTAAGATAAGTGAAAGTCTTACCCGACCCAGGCGGTGCAATTAGACCTGTTATACCATTCTGAGCAAATAAGAACTTGTCATGTATGGGTTTTATCTGAGCATTTTCCAACTTCCTCTTGTTCTTATTTAAAACATTCTCAAATTTCTTGTCAATGTCAGCAAACTTTTTTTCTAACATATTTTTAGAAAAATTAAAATTTTTATCTTTTAGAAATGTCTAGCGATTTCGCTATCTATATTCGAGACAAGCTTTTCGACAGCAAAACATCTGTCGACCATAAAATCTTACATAGTGTAAACAAGAAAGGGAATTTGTTCTAAAGTTCTGTTTCTGGGAATATGACAAGAACCATAAAACCTTAAGCAGAGAAGTCTTAAAATTTGTCAATGACAGACTTGTTGACAGAGATGACGCCTCTTGGAGAGATGAAGTCCAACAAAACTTCTTAGAATGCAAAGAAGACACATGCGCTGTTCTTGAAATGAAATAGAAAACAGAATAGAAGAGCTATTAAATGACAAAGCACTTTTACAAAAATATGGTTCTGAGAAGTTTGACATAACTCCACCAGAGAAGAAGAAGAGAGAAAGGAAAGAAAAGAAAGTAGAAGAAGAGAAGAAAGAACCAGAGCCAGAGAAAAAAAAATTTGACATGTAAAAATAAAATTTTATTTTTAGAACATTTCTGGGTCAATGTCAATGTTCTCTTCCTCTTTAGGAGCAAACACGGCTTAGACTCTAAAATCTTTTTACCCAATTTACCTTGAACTTCAACTATCTTAGACTCATAATATTCATAGTCGTCTGCTTTCTTTGGTTCATAAGGTATAACAAGTTTGTATGCTTTGCCTTCTTTAAGGTTTGAGAACCTTCTGTCAAAACTTTCT